TTTGGATACCAGTGGAGTGTTATAGATAGCTATGGAGTGTTGTTGATAGTTATGGAGTGTTATAGAGAGCTTTGGAGTGCTATGGATACCAGTGGAGTATTATAGATAGCTATGGAGTGTTATGGATGCCAGTGGAGTGTTATAGATAGCTATGGAGTGTTATGGATACCAGTGGAGTGTTATCGATAGCTATGGAGTTTTATGGATACCAGTGGAGTGTTATAGATATCTATGGAGTGTTATGGATACCAGTGGAGTGTTATAGATAGCTATGGAGTGTTATGGATACCAGTGGAGTGTTATAGATAGCTATAGAGTGTTATGGATACTAGTGGAGTGTAATCGATAGCTATGGAGTGTTATAGATAGATACGGTTAAATATAGTGTATATCTGTGGAATCCCTCTGCTTATATTATGATTGGGTTATTTCGGTTGCTCATATATCGAGAAAGGGCCAAAAAAGGTCGCAGTTTGAAAATTTTAAAATGTTTTCTTAATTTTGGTTGAAACATAAATGATATGAAAGTGTTCTTATACGAATAGTCTTATAATGTTACAAGCGTCTTATAATGTTACATAAATCATATGAAACTCTTCTTATACAAATACTCTTATAATGTTACAAGCGACGATACCCCAACGGTTCGCTATCAACTAACTCGTCCAAAATATGCGTTTTTTCTGTTTGTGTGCATCAGATATTATAAAAGTATCTTACCTATGCTGCGCACCATGAGCGAATGTTGCTGGAAAATTTGTTCTAGTGTTACCACTGTGGCATATGCCTTTTAATTAAATAGAATCGGAATTGAAATCTACGTGTTTTGGCGTGCATGTTGATTAGTCTTGTGCTGATAGCTTTGCTTTCTATATGTATTTTAGCATTTTGCTGTACATTGCCCATTGTTTACAACCTTAATTCTTGCAGTTAAGTTTCTGCTATTATAGATTTGATCAGAATCAGACATGAGGCCCGACTAATACTTTTAATACGAGATAAGCAAATGAGGGAAAGTTTTAACTCCTCTATACCGTTCTCTCCGACACGATTTTCCAACGTTTTGCCTGCCCCAATTGAGAATTGGTATCTCCGAAAGTATTGCCCCGCCGTAATGAAAATAATTGCTACAGTATCAATTTATAGATTATAACTGGACTTTGACTGAAAAGTTTTGGATGAATTGGAGTTTTTGCTAAATGAAATTAATTACTGTAAGGACATTTTTATTCAAGTGGAAACGGCGTTATTTTGTTTTCAACATTTGCGCGTGAAGTCAAGGCCGCTCGAGAGCGAGCGACAAAAGTCGCCGCACTAAACAATTTTATGCCTATTTATGGACATATTATGTAGTACATGATTTAGTGACATATTACGCATATAGAGAAAATACGACTAGGGATTAGCCTAAGTTATTTGCGGACAGGTTCTTTCTCACGATTTGCACCCAAAATTTAACTAGCAATGTTAATTTTGGTTATCATTTACGATTTCTTTACATTTGAATAATTGGGAATACTCGATCTACATAACAACTCAAAAAATAATAACGTTTCAATATTTCTGAGCATATCTCCACCACGTATATTATATTACTTATTGAGTATTCCCCAAAAGCTAAAAGTTTTTACTGCTTATTGTTTCATTGAATAGGCATACATGAAGTATTTGCCTATTATATGGCACAAATTTGAAAATTCTATTCCGACAATATTCTGCCCGGAATATCAGATGTATTTTATTCCGACGTATTCCGGGCGGATTATCACAAGTATTCTGCAAATATTCCGAAGGAATACCCCAGAATATCCCGGAATATCAGCAATATTCCAGACCATATTCCCTGGTATAGAGGTCGGAATATCCGACTTTTCGCCCAGTGGCCCTTGCAAGGTGCGTAATTTGTTCGCCAGAGATCCAGGGCAAAGTACACAACTTATGGTGTGTACAAATACACACCTTTTTGAAAAACACGACTTAATGTGTGTGAATTTGGCGACAAGCAAAAAAACGGAAAAAAAACCACACCTTAAGGCGTGTTTTTAAGGCGTGTTTTTTACAACCTTTATCTTGCAAATAGACACCTTAAGGTGTGTAAAAAGACGCACTTTTTCGGGAAAATACACACCTTAACCTGTGTAAAAAAGTAACTTGCCTTAAGGTGTGTGAATTTAACGACAATACAATACAACGCAACGCAACGCAATGCAATGCAATACAATAAAACTTTATTTTAACACGGTAAAATCTTCAGTACATTAATTAGATAGAAAAAGTAATTACCACTGATTTCCAATATTACCGTGCGGGAGTCATTTTACAAATTATAATAATAATTTAAGGAATTCGTAAAATAGTGGTAATGAACGAAGCATTCGTGTATTTTGAGGCAGATTATTCCATAATAAGTCTCCCCTATAACAAAGGCATCGTTTTAAATTGTTAGTTCGTGGCTTTGGCAAATTTAGCTTTATTTCAGAGTTTCGTAAGTTATACCCACTGCCGTGAACAGAGGAAAGATTTTGTAGGTAAGATGGTGCATCGTCATTGAGTATTTTAAACAAAATTCCAGCCTTAATCTTTTTGCGTTGTAAACAAAGATTGTCTATGTGCAAATTATTCAAAAGAGAACTAACGCTTGCATCATAGTGCGACCACGTCAGGACTCTTACTGCTCCGTTCTGTAGTTTCTGTATTTTATTACTGAGGGTTCTCCAAAAACCTTCCCAGACCGTGCAGCTGTAGCCAAAGTGAGGTTGTATCAAGGTTTGATGCACCTGAACAGCTGTTCTCGTAGTTGCAAATTGTCTAATACGTTTTAATGCGCCAATGGCTGAAGCAATTTCTAAGTTAATTTTTCAATATGGGTTGACCAAGAAAGGTGTTTGTCGATATGTACTACTAAGGATTTAACAGCATCGACTTTGTTGATTTTACTGCCATCAAGCTTAATGGTTATACTACCTTGAGTAGCATTGATATCTGTCGAGATCCAATGGTCATAAACTCCGTTTTTGCAATATTAAAACTGAGCTTATTTGTAATAAGCCTAGTTAATGACACTTTGGAGCTCTTGCAGGGAATCAGCTGCCAAGCTTACATTCGTATTGTCTGCAAACATTCTAGGAGTGGCGTGGTGGAAGCAGTTTGGCAGGTCAGAAAGTGTGTTGAAAATACAATCCTTATTTTTTAGAGCGTTTTTCACGATTTGATGATATACTCTTTTCTACATCAAGTACTTGCTATTACTGGGTAGTGTTCAAAGTTCGAACTTCGATATTTATTGCAAGACACACTCTGTACAAACAAGGAAAACAACAAAAATTTCCTATCCAATCGTGAAAAAGCTGTTCACTCGGAACAAATTATTCATCAAACACGTTTTCTTCATTTATTAATCCGTGGTTACGATCTAATCGGAACTTTATTTCACGTGCATAAAATGATTTAATGCCTTATACGATCACAAACCATGGAATAAGAAAATGCGCAAGCACAATTCACAGCTAGGTAAATAACCATACCACATTTCACCAAAAAATATGGGGAGACCTCAATGAAGTTGATTTAGAGAAAGTTTTGCACAGTCACTCTCCGCGCAATATTTGCATTATTACCCATCTGATTTAAAAAAAAAAAATTGTCGCGCCAGGTTCGCTATATCAAACGTCGTACCAAAGTAAAAACATTTCGTTACCTTCATAAAAGCACTTATTTGTGTGCAGACGCATCCTTTTTTGAAAGTGTTCTTTTTCGGCTTTGCAACATTGTGAATTGATCTCGTACCGAATTTCATTTAAACATCTTCCTTCCCAATCTTTTACGCATTCTTTTAGTTCATTCAGACGATGATCACAAATTGGAATACCTTCATTACAAATGATCAGAGTTCCACCAAAATATATCAAGATAATCAAGCCAATTATAACTTTTGTTGAAGTAAGCATCAATCGTCGCATCTCTGTGCAATTTGTTTGTGCGAATAAACACATCATCTGAATAAAAATATATTTAACATATATTTCATTTCGACCAGGGTTAAATAAATAATTCCCAAACAAATAATAATCCTTGCCACTTAGAAAGTATTCAAAGGCGTAGTGTATAAGTTCCTCTTTTAATAGTCTATTTGCTTCAAAGCAATAATATTGTTATACTGTGCAGTTATTAATACTGTTTAATAAATCATTGTAAAACTAAGTTATATTCGGATTTCCCAAAAGTAAAATTGAAAGAATTATTCATCAGTCAATATTATACTGGTCCTGTAGCAAAATAATTAGGATATATCAAGGTAGGGGTACTATATTACTGTATGGTTGGGATAATTTTAATACTCTGCATGCTGTATGAAAAGAGTAGTATGGTAACTCAATGAAAGATTAATCAAATGAATGTTAACAGATACTGACTTAGCGTTCATAAACATTCTTAGTTAATCTCAGTTACTGTTAACAGTTCCTGTCTTTAAAATAGATAACGAACCTAAACTTTCATGAACCAGGCGTATCAGTATGATCAAGCAATTGTGTCCTATTAATTTGGACCGCTCAAGTTAAAACGAACTGAGCAATAACGCGTTAATTACAACTCAATAAGGGCCTGTTCATATGATCCCGCTTACCGGGACGTCTCGCTTACCGAGACGAATATTTCCGTGCGTTCATATGGAATATTTCGTCCCGCTTGCCGAGATGAAATTACATTGTAGTTCTATAATTAGCGTATGCAAAACTTCTACATTTCAGTCAAGCAACACAAATACTTGGCGATTTTAATGTTTTTCTTCGTTTATTTACAAGAAAAAGTATTGCTTCAGGTGGTTATTTAATACTTGTTTACAAAACAAACATAAAACCAAGTAAAAAGTGTTAAATTAAACCGGCAAGACTTGTTTCACTTCATCCCGGTAAGCGGGCTGGCGTGTTCATATGGAAAAATTTTCATCCCGCCTACCTATGATCTCAGAAAATTCAAACGAGATCTCGGCAAGCGGGCCAGCTCGCTTTCTCATATGAACACAATGCAAAATTTTATAGGAAAATAGATAGGCGGCGAGATCATCGGTAAGCGAGACGTCCCGGTAAGCGGGATCATATGAACAGGCCCTAAGATGGATTTGATGAATCAAACCGAAGTGTGGATTATAAATTAGCCTGCGAACAGGCGTTTATTCATGGGCCCTCGTAATAATAAACGCCTGCCCGCATGACTTTGAATTTTCGAAAAACGCCTCTTTGAGTCACGCCCACCTGTCAAAAACTCATGTCAACGAGATTTCTTTTCATTTCTAAGATGTCAAAATATATCCTCGAGTCATTTAGTTTATTAGAATAAACCGTGATGAATGTAATGAGAAAGATTTCTGTATCGAAATTAGAACATTTTAATGTAGAACATTTTAATGTTAAAACATTTCAATCGCTGTCAAAATATATTAAAATACAGACTACAGACTGATCTGTCGCCGTCTACAGACTAATCAACTTGGCTTCACATATATTTAATAGAAACACTGTCATATTATTATAATTAAAAGCACAACGTTTATCGTTGCCATAAACAGAAACGTATTCGATATACGTTTCATAATATTAATTAATGACAACACAACTTCAATGTTCATGCTTTCACCACGTTAACTCAACTGTCTGTATCAACTCACTCAACTGACGACATATAAAACAATATATTTGCATTCTATTTAATACCTAATGGTATATAAATTGCATACAGTACAACAAGAATAGTAAATATATACATATATAAAAGTCATTTTAACACTATAATTGAAAATCCACGACGTCCTTCGTCGAGGTTCAAACGTTTCATGGATTTTTATAAACACTTTGATAACGAACTAGCAGCTTAACTGAACCTGGTAATCTTGCATAAATTGGCCCGAAACATTAATGGTTTTCTTGTTCGCATTTACTGGACAATATTCATCTATAAATCATCAACAAAGTTTAGCAAATTTTTGCTGACCTTAGTAATAAACGCAGACCTCCTAGTTAATATCAATCATATGTTGCCATTAGACCATAATCATGGGCGAACGAAGTCTCCGAAAATTTAAACTTCGTGTGCGAAGTAAGTCTCCGAAAATTTAAAGTCGTGTGGGCAGGCGTTTATTATTACAAAGCCCACCCGAATAAACGCCTGTTCGCGGGATAACAATAAATGTAAATGCAATTTCCACAATTCTTTTCCATACTAGTATACTCTGCAATGTGTCCAAGAGTTCCGCATTATTGGCCATGGACAAAAGTATGCATTTGAACAGCCTCAATCTGAAGAAATGCGCGTATACTGGGGCAGATACGATTAATCTTTGTGGTTGATTTAACATCAGAATCTAGCACAGGATACGCCCTAGTGCTTTATTCTTCCTCAAAGTTTTAGGACGCCGATAAACAAGATGCACAAATTGGACGAACCAACGGTTATATTTGACTCAGATACAGATTAAACTGAACTAATAAAAGAACTTCACTATTATGAAAACATTATAAACTTGCAATACATGGCTTCCCAATTGCGTTTTTACTGTTGAATAATTAAATACAAACAATGTTGTCATGTGATTATACATGAAATAATACCCGCCAGTTAGTAATATGTTAATTTGATTATGCTAAATTCATTCAAAATTGTATAAATTTAATAATTATATTGAATTTCGACAAATTGTATTTTTGTGCTTTTTCCCCTTAAACAGTTTGATTACAGAAGATGAATCATTAATAAGTAATATAATGAATTAAGTCGTGCTATACTCATACTCGTGATTAACAAATCAACCTCCCGCTACGCGGTCGGCTGATTACGTAATCACTCGTGTGATTATGGCATTTATTGCACTCCTTTTCGTTCTACTACCATGATTAATTGCAATCTCCAGGAGTGTAATTAATGATTTTCGTGATGGCTGGGGGGAGCGGGAAACTAAAACAGCAAGAATCCAAATGGCGGCAAAATTTATATTGTATAAATAACAAATGCAGTGGACGAATTTGACTAAACTTGGGCACAAAAATGAGGCTAAAAATCCTAATATGGAAAAAAGAGCCCGTGCAAAATACCTGCATGGAAACAGTTTTAAGATATAATCTCAGCGGGATGCAGCGAAACATGACTATGTAATTTTTTCTGTGTTGGTGCAATGTACTCATGCGAATATGATGCTTGTGATGTTACTCTGAGCGCCCGGTATGGATATACACTCAGAGTAACATCACAAGCATCATGACTATGTAAGTCTGTAATACAATTTATAAAGTTTTTCTTACTCTAGTGTTTTAGTTTAAGTTATGTGCTTTTGTGAGTTTATGATAATTTTCCTAGTTTGTTTATGTCGCTAAAATGCTTAGAAAAGAATTAGAAACTTTTGACAAAATGCAATTGAATTTTAAATAACACGATTTTGTTAGCCGCTTGTGCAATTTCGCACATTTTTCAAATATCACTCGTAGTGTTAATCATTAATTGCACGTAATCTTTCCCGTTTGATTACCTACACAAATTGTTGAATCTTCTTCCTTGAGAACGACAGCTACATTAGGTACAATAATATACTAAAACCGCCTGTACCAGTGTAGGTGGTACCTATGTGAAAATGCTGTGCTGAGTGGTTATATTACTACCTTAAAAAACAAGCAGAAACTCGACGTTTCGAGCGAAGGCCCTATATATGGAAAAAAGAGCCCGTGAAAAATACCTGCATCGCTCGAAACGTCGACTTCCTGCTTGTTTTTTAAGTTAGTAATATAACCACTCAGCACAACATTACGTTCAATATCTGCTTAAATTTAAATTTGAATTGATATTGTCGATCGGTTTGCATAACAAGAAGATACGAAGAGTGAGATGGCCAGATTGATTACGTAATGTTGACGCCCATCAGGCTAAAGCATTTTGCCATGAATCAGAGATGGAGCTTTTTATTTACACAAAAAATTATAATAACAAAAAAGACATTGAACCCCATTGAACTTCTTACAGTTTGCATGATATTTGTCTCTGACCACAGGCTATATTTTATATTTAAATGACTGGTGCAGCTTTCTGAAAGAGTTCCTATTTAACGAACAGGCTTTAATTTAATATATATTAAACGACCTATACATAATCATTTACAACACGCACCAGTATGACTGAATCTGTCACTGGCCCGCATGGCAAGATCCAGCGGGTATGGATTACACCCAGACAGTCGACTATTTTAACGTTTTCTACCCATGGAGGACTGTTCCAGTATAAAATATTAAATTACAGTACGAACAGTGCCGCCGAAATATTCCAAAATGTGCTACAACAAAACCTTAGCAATATCAGGAGTAAAAAACCTGCTGGATGATATTATTATTATTGGAAAAATCCAAAACTTACACAATGAAGGACTGGAGAACTGTTTAAAGCAGTTACCAGCACTAAAATTGAAAGTTAAAGCCAAAGCAAGATGCATTGCATGGGTTTATGTGTAACTTACATTTTTAAGTATGCCTGATCGTGCGCATTTCCATTCAATATTGACCTCAAAAGCTGCGTTTAAACTTGAATAAACATTTTTGAAAGTGTGGAGCATTAGCCAAAAACGACCTATCAAATATTAATACAGCAATAATCTGTTAGACACACTATACAGTCAGAAAATACACGCTCGTTCTCGGAGATCTGCCCAACGCCGCCGCGGTAAAACCTGGCGAGCTTTTTTTTTCTTTTTATTTAATTCGCCCATAATTTATTCTATATACAAAAACATTTATTATTAACTACATCAATGAAGGTTTGGGCTAGAGGCCTATTAGAAACCAGTTCAATATAAAAGATACAGAGAAAAGAAATACAATATGTCACACCTGAACTAATTAGATAAGTGAGTAGCAATTTAATTATGTTTAATGTTAATCCCTGGCGCGCCTGTTGAAGAGGGAGGAAATTTAGAGCGCTTGAAAATACGTTACCCAGTTTCAGCAGAACATTGTTATTTTAGAGGTTGGGACAAATGACTTAACCTTGGAAAAACACGAAACTGTGCGATCGAGAATTGCCGATCTAGTGCGCATGGCGCGACCTGGATGAGTGCTTTCCGATTTTTTGTCGGGGTGTACACACAGAGACATCCTCTATTTCAAATATTTTATATATTTTTTGTTGTCCACACGTTGTTCTGTTCATTAACATCATAGGTAGTTTCATTCGTTATTCAAGCGACAGCGATTTCGTAATGAAATATTTAAACTTTTGCATCATATTATAAGTCGCTACTTGTAGTAATGGAATAATAAAATCTTTTTTCAATGTGGATGTGTATTTCTTCCTTCTAAGTGCCCATCCAGGGTCACAAGGCCTGGACAGAATCAGGGACGTAGCGAAGGTGTGCTAGTTGGGGGGGTGCAATGCAGTAATTTACCTGATTTTACACTATTGTAAAAATTTACCTGAAATTATAAACCCCCCTATCTTTGCGGACTGCAATGTTGTGGTGCATTTCTCCCCTGCACAGTTATTATGCACCCAGCTAGATATTTAACCCACATCTAATTTTACAACATTTTTTTCTTGCTTTTTTAATCAATATAATATGTTTGTGTTATTTTTGTTCTGCTAAATTAAAGAGTATATAATTAGCCACACGAGAAGAACACGAGCATATACAAACCGAGTACTCCGAATAGCACTCTCCACTCATTTTATCAATTAGGTAGTTAAATCTAAAATACCATAATCACATTGATTAGTTACCTCTCGGCCTGCCAATAACTATAGTCAATTTTAACAAGTTTTTGTCGAAGCAGTCCATCCGCCTTTTTTATGTAGGGAAAAGGAACGACAATTGTGAATTGCAAGGGTGGGTTGTAGCGAAGTAGTTGTAGTTCGCTACTGTAGCGAACTACAATTTTTAAGTAGCCAGTAGTTTTTGACTACTTTTTTAAAACAGTAGTTGTAGTTATAGCGAACTACATTTTGCCTAAAAGTAGCCAAGTAGTTGACTACTTTTCAAACAGTGAATCGCTATTCGCTACTTTTTAAAATTGTTAGTAACTTGACAGAATAGCATGCATATGATATTGAGACACGATTTGTTTAAAATCAATACTCAATAGTCAATTTGCACTCCTGAACACTGTATAGTGCTTACAAAAATGTTGCTTTGTGTTTACTGTTGCTACTCGTAAGTCGATTTGTTATAGATTGCATTACAGCCTGAGTAAGTAGATGCTCCAAATATAGTAAAACTAAAAAAATATAGTGTAGCGAAATAGTGAAATAGTTCGCTACATTTTTTAAGCAGTAGCTGTAGTCAGTAGCGAACTACCTTTGTTCAAAAGTAGCAGTAGTTGTAGCTGACTACATATTTTTGAAGTAGCTGTAGTTAAAGCGAACTACAAAAATTTTGTAGTCAACCCACCCATGGTGAATTGATGTAATTTATATAATAAAGATAATTTTTAGCTGAACTAGAACTGCGTTTCCCTAAACAATGAACAATAATGTTACATAGTAGTTATTTGTTAACTAATGTTTTTAACCTTCAATAGTAAGTTATTGTTTTCAAGCAATCGCCAATCGGCGGTTTTTCAAGATTGACCATTTTTTCGCGATCGCAGTAACATCAAAGACATCAGTGATATTCTTTTCAGCGGCAAGGATCATGCAATCATTCAAACGTTTTCCAGATATGTTATTGCGTGAATATAACTTTTTACAATCTTCAGTAAACTGAATGATCTCTCATTTTTCACAACGCCAACGTCATGGGCGGCTGTCAGAAATAGTTTATAAAACTTGAAAAGACCATGCTTTTTGGCCACTTTAAGAGCAATGTTCGCAGCGATCGTACATGACATGGGTTTTGCCTGAAGACCTTGTGACTGACTTTCTTCTTCCATTCGTCTTTGTTCCTTCAGCGCATTTTTAAAGAAAACGGACAATTCGCTGTGTAATGCTGGGCTTTGTTCCTGGTGTTTCTGGATGCAATACCTTTAGGGACGGATTAAAAGTGTCCTTAAGACCAATTTGTTTCTCCATTAATTCCATTAATCCTCGTTTTTGTTTGCCCAAAAATCACAAAAAGTCACATACTTAGGTTAACATCAAGTCTCAAGACGTAGTTGTTCACGTTGTTCACTGTGTAATAAATAATGCATAAAGATTATACGCGTATAATATAGAGAACAGTAAGGCTAGGACAATGCCCTCGTAATGGCTCATTCAACCTAAACTATTCAACAATGTTACAAATCTACGAGACAAATCTTTAGATATTAGACGAATATTGCGTATATATCGGCCATTTGTGTAGAATTATTAACGAACTACTATATAAGTAAAAATATGACAAAATACACGGCACACAATACACATCACACATGTGCATCACACATACAGACGTTCAAAATTTACATCCGAATATAATATCCCTGTTGTTGTATTATTCTAAGCAAACAAATAATTCTATGTCTTCTATGTATTCCAAATACACTGTATTACTATCAAAAAGTAGATGAAATTAATATAATTTCTTGCACGTACCTTGACCTTGTGTGTAGAGCCAAAACCGGAAGCGCATGTTACTTAGCGAAAAAATAATGTTTTTTTCCCCGATGGAAATAGTAAAATAGACAACATATTCTTTTCGTAAAATAAAGCCTGGCTACGTTGATAAAACGGAAACCTCTGAACGTATCAACGTATGAAGCCATAAAGAATTAAAACCTCATCTATTTTCTGCATTTCAATCCTCTATTATTTGCCTGTTTTCGTTATGGATTTTCAAGATTTTTTACCTGATTTATTAATGCCAGTTTTTCATGGATTTACCTGAAATTTTCAAATCGTCTTAGTTGGGGGGGTGTCCACACACCCCCCCGGTCGCTACGTCCCTGATTTTCACGGTATACTTATTATACAGGGGTAGCACGTAGGAAGGAGCGAGACAGTGTTGTTTTCAAATATATAAACATTTATTGTCAGACATGAATATTGAGAAAACCTTTGCCGATTCTACGCAATATATAATTGATGTTATGCATTACCAGCACTCAATTAAGTGCCTATCGATGATTATTTAGACCGTACGCGAGTATTCATTATACATTGACTGTATAAGGTGCTACACAGAATAGATGGCTACACTCAAAACAAAGGGCCAAAAATTGCATCAGATCAATAAAGCGTAAACAACTATTAAACAGAA